TAGTGGTAACTTCTTTCATCGCTTGGATCTTCTATCTCCGCCAAAAGTCCACTCCCTCTTGAGTGATACGGCCCCAAGGTGAAATTCTTATTGTTAAACGTTGGGTTTTGTTATTGTACTTTGCATATTAAATTCTCCTAGAACTTGGATTGAATCGGCTTGGTTAATCTCTATTGCGAATCTTTGGCCTAAGCAAGTTGATATTTTCAAATTCCTAACTCAATTTTATGAGCTAGTTTTAAATTCATAAGAAGCAACACTTTAATCTTTTCTTTTTAAATTTCTAAGCAAACTCCTCGTAGTTTCACATCACAAAGAGTAGGAAGGTCAGTCACGCCCAACATTATAAACCTAAAGCCAAAATAGTGTAGAAGATTACCTGCTGCTTGGCAGACTGAGAACTCTGCTGCTGGCTTATATTTGACTGCTGCATCATCTGTAGCTGTTGTTGAATCTGAAAAATTGCCTGCTGTGAAGTCTGGTAGCTTGATTGTAAAGTTTGTGCTTGCTGCTGCAGCAGCATCTGGGTCGGCAACTGATGTCCTGGTTGCTGAAGCAGGTGCTGTGAGATGCTCGAAATAGGTAACTGCTGTTGATTAGGAACACCTGTTAAGCCTTGTTGTTGTAGGCCTAAAGGATTATGAAGAGCAGCAGCAGTAGCATTTTGTGGCGTTAGAGATGACGAAGCAGACAATTGTCCACTAAGACCAGGAACTTGCTGTGCTTGGCTGAAGGAGTTGAGGGCAATAGATTGAGGGAGCGGAAACTGTCCAAGTTGCTGCATCGGTGCTTGTAAAGCTTGTGTTTGTGCATGCGAAAATGAAATCAGAGCATTATGCAATGGCAAAGCCGGTGGTACATTTTGGGGGAGCTGGAGAGACTTCTGCAATGGTAAAATTTGTTGACCAATAGATGGCGGGGCTTGTGCAAGAGGAGGGTTAAAACTCTAGGGAAAAAGAAAAAAAAAACACGTTACCTAAGCTGATTTTCAAGAAATATAAATATAGATGGTTTGTTGAGGACAAATAAGAGAAAGAAAAAAAGTTTATGTGAGGGACTACCTGAGAAGATGATGATATTGGTGCAAGGTTTGGCAAAGCACCATTTGAAGGAGGCAAACCATCTCCAAAGGAACCGGGCTAACAAATACACAATGAAAACGAAGACCATTTTAGAGAACATATGCTGATCTTATAGAGAACCCAAAAATAAGTTTAGAGTTTACTCCAACCAATGTAGGAGGAATGCCACCCATGCCAACTGTTTGGCTTCCCAATCCTTGAGTACTTGACTGTGATGGCAGAACACCACTCTGAGGACTAAGTGGGGGCCAACCCTTATGCGGTACGTGTCCACCTCGTGGCTCATCAAATTTTTCTGGTTGTCTACAAGGAAAAAGAATTAGCATAATAACCACATAAATATGATTAAACATAATGTCCATAAGGCATATCATCCATACTTTCTATGTTTTATTAGGAATAAATTAAGAATGAGGATTCATAAAATCAACTTTAGTAGTTGACATAAGACTAATGATGATTATGATTTACATTTTCTAAGATTTCAAACCTTGAGGAACCCTTTTTTAATGCCAAAATGTTGCATTACAAAGAAGTACCCTTACCCAAAAAAGTTTATGCCTATGTACCACCAAACTTTATGGGATACCAAGGAGAAAATGGAAATAATAACAATAATTAGCTATCTGAAATAATGAATTATCAACTTGAAATCAAGGCTGTTAATGCACAAAGCACAATATGAGATGGAGAAGATTGAATTGCTTTAAAGCTCTAAGCATAACCAAAACACACTTGGGTTAATTGAAATGCACATATCAGAAAAAATATCATATATTATTATACTATTTGACAACCATCATACAAATTAAAATTATGAAATGATATATGGTTTTTTAAATCAAATAGTAATACAAAAAATTATTAACTAAAAAGCAATAAGGCATGCACAATGTGATAAGCAACATATAATATTAACTCATAACTGAATCGATCTTCATCACCGACTAGGAAGGAGTGGAGCACCCATGTAGTACTCTCTACAAGCAAGGACAATGTGTGTGTGCTTTGGTACATAGACCATGCTTTATGGTGTAAGCCCATTTCTTTACAGTGACGCACATTCGTACCACTCTACTCCGCATCAAACTTAAAGCACAAGTTCAATGTGCTTTAAATAACCTTGCTTGAAATAAGTAAAAGTAACAATACTTTGTTGAAATAAACTGCAAAAAGGGGATATACAAGCAAGTAAATTTTGACTAAAAATCCATTGCATTCCTCCACATACAGCTTTAACAAAAAGGTTCATTGAATTCTTCAAATCGGCTTCATTAATGATAGTTTGGCTGTTGTAAGGTGATGATTGTCCAGCAAAGTTTAAAGCTCTTATAATGGAGAAACCCAATTTCACAGGTCATTAGTAAGATGTGTTAAGGCAAGTGCCCACAACACAGTGAGTCATCTTTCCTTGATTTGATTGATGAGAGTTAATACTCTGAACACTCAAGACGAGTTAATTTTTGTTGGTGGTAATTTGATTATGGGATAATGTGGAAAGAGCATCAAGAGTTGAAGAAATAAAGATGCACTATAGGAACCAAATTTAATCAAGCACATGTAAGTGCTTCAAATTATATAGGAGTAAAAATTCAGGATATTAACGATGGGATTATTTTAAAGAGACAAAGGAACAAATGGAGTGCTCAAATTTGATGATAAAGATGAGAGCACGGATAATAATTGAGATGGAAAATATAGTAGTGAAGATTGTATTACCCTTTGCTACACACTATAATATTACCCTTTGAAGATCGTAGATACTTGGACCATTTAACATGTCTTCGAACTTGGAACACATATTTTTAACTTTGAATGCAATGAAATATGAAGATTCATTCTTCTGCTCAGTGTAACTTCATGTGATCATTATTTATTTACATTATTCAAAATTATACCTTATAATTAAGATAAATTTATAAGTGCTAAAAAAATTGAATACCTCACTTAGTAAAGAACTTATGGTAATGGCTAATTGATGTGGACATCCGACGGTGGACGTGAATAAAAGGAAGAGACGAAAATCGACGGCCGAGATCCCTCCATTTTATCTTAGTTTATTAATAGTATTTTTGATTTAAGCCCTTACTTGAGGGTCTTAGCCCAAGGGGAAAAGTTATCTTTTAGTTCTTTTTAAGGCCTATATATAGAAACCCTTGCTCTTGTATTAAGAAATGATAGAGTTTAAAAAAAAAATTTGTTATGCACTTTTGTTCTTGGGGAAGAACTTTGGTGAGATCCCTATGAGAGGGAATCGTAGTATCCACCAGCCGCAGAATGGGTTCGGGCTCGTGGCTTGAAATCCCTTGGTGAAGGGCAACGTATCACTCGTCAGCCGTAGGAAGCGTCCGGGCTCACGATTTTATATTTCTTTCCCTGAACTTCTTTTCTCCTTCTCCCATGACCGTCGGCCATACCCCCTTCATAGCCGCCGGCCGAGCTTCTCTCTTCCCTCCCCCCCACTCTCTAAGTCGAACACCACCACCGGCCTCAAGGATCATTTATTCCCTACCAAAACCTTCCTTTTCCTCCTAGCCACCACTATCAAACCCTAACCCTCACTTGACCGCCAGCCATAGTGCCTCTCTTTGCCTCTACATCTTCAAATCCCAAATTAATCCCTTTCCATATGTGGTGTGTTTTAATTTGGACAAATTTCATATTCAAATTTCAATCTTAATTGAATTAAGAGTCTTTCTTAAATTAACTACATGTTAATTTGAAAAGTTATTCAATTTGAATTCAAATAAATTTTGAATTTCAAAAACTTCCTATTTAATAAGTTCTACTTTAAGAAACCCCTCCAATTACTCCCAATCTGAAATTAATTTCGGATTTAATTCCCAATCCCAATTAATGCTTGATTCACATTCAATGAACCTAGACACCTCCTTCCCTCTCACTTGGTCGGCCCCTTTTTCTCCCCTACTTTAATTATTTCCTTACTTGTTAAAGAATCCAATTAGGGGAATAATTAACCACTTCTTATCCTTCCCTCCAACTTATTTGAATATCAAATTCAAATCCCTTAATTAAGGGAAATCTGAAATTGAATTTCAGATTTTTTTTTTTAAATTTTTATTTTCCGGCACCCCCCACCATTCTACATCACAAATGGATCAGTTGTTTGCATTCATATCACCTTAAAAGTGTTTGACGCTTTTGATAACATTGGCTCAAACAATAGCAAGAATAGACTTTAACATTCATTACTCTATAATTAATTGGGCCGTAAAGCACCCGCATAAACTTGGATCTAAAGAGCATTCAATTGACATCATACAGTTTTCATTAACTTCATAATATGTTCAATAATCAATTACAAGACAAGTGTTCCTATTTATAGAAAGAGGACTACAAAGATAAAGACAATTATTTGAAAGCAAATCTACTCCTATCCACTCCTACCAAACATTTAAATTCAAACATAATATTTTCCAAAATGGATAATTAAATGTAGTAAGAATAAAAGGAATTCAATCACAAATAGATACGGGCTTAATAGGGCATAAAAATGTTCCCAGTTTACCCCTATTATGGATTGGTTTAATTCTTCCATATGCCCAATTAAAATTTTAGGGTGATTTAACCCGATTAGTAAGTTGTACTGCATCAACTCCCTTGAGATGCCAAAAGTTATTCTTTAGAAAGTTAGCATACATATAGTCAACCAAGAGATTATGTGCTTGCTCTCCAATCCATCCTTAATCATCCATGTATGATCTGCGGGAGCTCGACCTTTTCATTTGACCAAGATATTTTGGTCAACATTTTTTCCATTTATAGCTCCATCCATATAGAAACAAGCATATATGTGAAATGGATGGAGTAGCTCCAATGGCAGACAAGATTAGAGAGACTCTGTTGGTTTGAAGCTTTGGTTATCAATTAAGATATCTTGGGTTCAAGTCTTGTGTATGCGTATGTGAGTGAGTTTGTCTTAATTGGCTTAAATGTTCTAAAAAAAAAGAATTAAGAGAGTCGCATTAGATGGTTTGGTCACATAAAACGTCGGCTTTCTGATGACCTGAGTAGGAGAGTAGATGCATTAGATTTGATCTATGATAAGTCTATGTTAAGAGATGTAGAGGTAGACCTAAAAAGAATTGGTCATAAGATATTAGAAATGACATTTTTTATTAGATTTAAAAGAGAATTTGACTCTCAGCAGGACACAGAGAGAAAAAGGATTCATGTATCCAACCCCACATAGTCGGATAAATGTTTGATATTGTTGTTGTTGTTGTATAGCTTCATCTACATACAATCAAAATTTAGGAAGGTAGGTGGAATTGGACTTAGTTGGAAAGTACTACAAATCCTTATACGCAATTTCTTCTGTTTAATTTGAATGAAGTACTCAGAGCATCTAGAAATCATGACAAAATCATGTCCATTATACTCTCAAGTCCTAGTGATATTTACAGTATCAAGAAATTTCATATTATTCAATTCAAAATGCTTAGATATTTTGTACTATGTAATTCAATATGTTTTTTGAATTCATCAAGTCAATATAAGTTATAAAAATGATACAATAAAATTAAAATATGTAAGCAATGGTGAAGGATAACATGCTTTCAAGGGTTCATTCTTTGAACAAATTTCAAATAATGTACTGTCTATAGATTTATATATAATGTTTTCACATACAAATTCAACAATAGAAAGGAGTAGATCTCAATTGCCAAAATTGATGAAGATTAGAAAGAGAGATGAAGAAGAAAAGGAAGAGAGGAAGAGAGAAGAAGAAGCAACCATAGAAGGGATATAGAGTGAATGGAAACAGAAATTTTAAGAAAGAAAGGGAAAATATAATTAGCACTCAAAGCTATAAATTCATTCATCTAATCAATACATATTTACAAAGCAAACAACCTTATTTATAGAAATAGGGATAACAAGATAAAATCTAAAATCAAACCTAGCCTAATTTAAAATTCAATTTTAAACTTATTATAATAATCATCCAAAAGGATAATTATCTATAAACTAAATACTGTAATAAATCTAAACTTAATCTATCATGCATCAATTCGTCAAGGTTGAAAAAACTTTAAAGAGTTGTGATGTTGTTGGGAGGACATACAGAAGGGCAACAATTTTTCTGAGAATTTGCAATATTTAACATTATAAGAGACAAATAAAAAATCCATTTCAATAAACAGGGATGAAGAGAAGAAATACTGAAAATCACCCATAACGGCCTAATTATCTTGTCAAAAAAATCATAAAAAACATCAACAAATTTTGAATAGAAATCTCTACACCTGAGAATACATCATGTATCTTATTTAATTGACTAACTAGAGAACAGATGGTACCATAATTAATCTAGGAGTAGAATGCCCTCCTTATTCTTCAAGGATTGATGATTGACATATTAAACGACAAATGATTTCCATAGTAGCTTGGCAATGCATGCAAAGTGAGGATGTTCCTTAGAAAAGGCAATTATTTCTCTCTACTTCCAATTAATTCATAAAATATTATGAAGTAAATCTCCAAAATAATCTAGCAAAGTTAAAACAATATTTTTTTTCATTCTTAATACGGAGAGAACAAAAGATAAGTGAAATTTGCACTGGAGATGATGCATTGATGTACAATATTATCACAGACACGAGCGTCAAAATTGAGCAAAGAAGAAGTTAGGATATCACAAATTTAGTGGTGAAAGGGTGGAGGCAACGCGCATAGCTAATGATGAACAATGAAGAAGCTATAAGGAAGTGGAACCAAATAGGAGCGAGCTAGGGATGCTATTGGATTGAAGTCAACAATGGGTTCACTAGCAGGGAAGATAAGTGGTGTGAAAGCACAGAAAATGGTCATGGTAGCAAGGCTAGAGTGCAAGATTTGAAGGATCGTTGATTCAAAGATTTAATTCCAACCTTGATGCCAGGAAAAGAGGGAAATTTTGCATGTACAACTTGAAGCGATCTATGTGCACAATTCAGAACCAGATCGCAATTGATTGCCCTCAAAAAAATTTCATGCACTTCATAATGTGTACAATGATCATGCAAGCCGTGCGTCCCTATTTACAAAAATATAGTTGAGACGCAAAGTTAATTAATTTAAATCTAGTCCAATCCAATCCTAATAAATATTCAAATTCAAACCTGATAATCTCCAAAGAGGATAATCAAATCTAATTAAAATAAGAGAAATTCAATTATGAATGAATATAGGCCTAAGAAGGCATGAAAGCATACATGCTTCAAACCTGTTGTGGCCTAGTATTACTCCTAGTAATTAGCCCATGCCCAATTGGGCTTTTATGACTTGATTTGGCATGATTTATGGGCTGTATTGCATCAATAAAATATATTGCTTCCCTTAATGTAGCAGTATATTAAAGAAGGGAGAGAGAATGACTCTTTCTTACAAAAAAGAGGATTCTAATGGAATACATAGACATGTCTATGATCACATAGAACAACTCAAGTACCATCCAAAAAAAGGAGCTTCTATAAAGACATGCAATTTAAACTCTTTAATCATTCACTCCCGAAATAGGTTACTTCTCGATCCAAAATCCATGTGATTGCTACCAAATTTTCAAGAAAAAAGAAGCTAAGCAACTATTCATACAAGAGGCTCTTGCTACGCTAAGGAGAACATTCAAGCTGTTTTCTTAAGCTCGTGCAATGCAGAAAATCTGAATATATAGTTTCCGTGATCCAGCAGAAAATACCACATTCAAGATTTCCAATCCCAGAAATGAGAACTACTACAACTCCACTAGTGCTCAGCATAGTAGAAAGCCAAAGATTTTTTAGCAAGTTGATAATTTAGCAAGAAAACAATACCAGTGAAGGATTTAATCACCAAACAAAACACAAATTATAACCCTTTTCGTCCATTCATGAAGGATTTTAATTTATGCATGGAATAGAAGTGACGCACTATTTGAAGAGACGGAGAAATTACCTATTAAGGATTACGGCATCAGAATGAGGACCAAACCCAGGACCACCAAATGCAGGGGCATTCCTGCTTTTCAAAAGAAGAAAAAATAACAAAATGCTTAGAGAGCACTATTAGAAGTACTAAGATAACAAAGGTAACACAGATCACATGTAATAGTCGCAATTTCAACAAAAGAAAGAAAGACCTCTGATCAAAAGGCCTTGGCCTCTTTGGTTCTGCAAACCGAACAATCAATGGCTGCTCGCATCCCTAATAAGAAGGGCCAATAGAATCGTCAAAAAATAAATCACATAATTAAGAAAAATCAACAAAAGGTCCAACTTACCCTCATCACATAGGTCCCATGTAGTGCATTCATTGCTGCTAAAGCCATATCCCTATTCGAAAACTTCACAAAGCCACATCCTCCACAAAAGGGAAAACAAAGATAAGTAGATAACTAAATCGCGGTGTAATGCAGACAAAATAGTCCAGTAAAGGAAGAGTGAAAGCACAAACCACGACTCTGTTTCATCTCATCTTTAATAAGGTAGACATCCTCAACATGCCCATAGAGAGCAAAAATCTGTCACAGAATTTTGAGTTATCAAAATGTATTAGTATATCAAATGAAATAAGCAAAATCTTCGACCAATCAAGAAAACATATGGCTAAAGAAAGAAATTCTACTCAAGAATTCTTGAACATGGCTTCACAAAGACATTTTTTGCAATATAAGTTCGCAAAAACAATATCAGACAGCATCATGGATGATAAACTAGAAGTAAGCCATCCAGTCACGTATTTAATCTAGAGGATGAACGATGTCATAGAAGAATAATTTTGATTAAGAAATTAAAAAAATAGAAATTCTTACTTCCTCAACTTCCTTTTCCGTGGCCCGCCTGTTGAGTGATGCAACAAATAACTTGTCCTCAGCTGGGCCTAAATATATTCAAGTATTGAATCAAAAAACAATAAGTAGCACAAAAAGTATAGCAAATAAAGAACAAAGTTACATAAAGAAAACAAAGGGAAGCTACATTATGCAATTTACCGTAATTTAAAATTATTGACAACATTATCTAAAATATTAGCATTTTATAAGCTTCTAAACTGGACTTCATTACTGTTTACATAGTCATGATAAAATATGGAAAGAATACAAATAAAAGAAAGATTAACAAATGAAGATTAGAATTTTAATGCGGCAATTACAGTGGTTTTTTAATCACTACAACGAAGAAAACTAAATAATTCTAGGTTTTAGTAAAAAGTAGCTGCAACTCTAGGAAAAATTTTTACAAAAGAATAACTAATGCATTGCATATCTAAGTATGGTCAATCCAATTAGCATCTGCCACTAATAAATGTTACTTGGCTCCAAAATAGTCACACAAAAGAAAAAATATAATCAAAACCAGAGTCAAACTAAAATGCTCAAACAAACCCAATAGGTAGTGCCATTTCTATTTTGCAGGTAAAGGGATGAAGAGAAAGTAGCGGGCTTTTCCAGCTATAACGAATCAGGAGCTGCTATTGTATTCAGATAGAACAAATTAATTCTTTCTTACATGGGCATTGCTAATTGTTTACTTCCATGTATGTCAATTCGTTAATGAGTAATTAGTTAGGTCCAATATAAAGTTCTGCAGCCAGCCACATTTATTTTTCTACTTAGGGAAAATATCTAGAACCCAACAGAAATTCCTCAACTTATACAGAATTTTACTGTCAGAAACTCTATTATTTTTCATATTGGAACTATTCTTCTAATTATTCTTATTATTGACCTTATTATATTCAGTTCACCATATCAATTTATTTATCAGCCTTCACCCTAGTTTTCAGTCTCTTTTATCTGATATAGCTACAAAAATATCTGTAATGCTAATCAAGTGAAATCAGCTCGACTCAAATCTTCAACAAATATTGAAATAAAGAAAAGTCAAGCTGAGCTTGATTTTGAATGAGCGTATGGATGTTCTCTTGAACACGATGCATTATCAGGAATACTTCAGTACAAATTTTACATTACAATATCATTCTCACAGAAACAGCACTGTACGCACACATATTGTTCATATTCTTGTAAAAATTACAACATTCTAGCACTTAATACTTATTTAATGCGCTCCAAAAAGACAAAATTGTGCTGCTTTGTTCCTACAGAAATTTCTCAAGTAATCATCCATAACAGTGCAGCTAACTTTTCATGCCTCTATGTACAATGTCAATTTACTGAGCCCAAGAACAACTGCAGTAGATATGGAGTTATTTCATATATAAATGTTTATTTAAAAGGCCCTGGCATTAGGCATCTAGGGCATAGGAAGAGATATTGCAAAGCTATTGAAACACACCAATATATTGTTGAGATGTGTGGTAAGGCATTAGATAGTTTGATGGCGCCTTGCTTAAATTTAGTGAGTGAAGGCCATCGCAGTACCACCTTAATTAATATGGTATTTCACGCTCATCAATATATTCTAACAAATTTGGAAAAATCCAGCATTCTTTAGTACTCAACATGCAAGTAATTTATATACAAAACTTACTGAAGAAATAATCATATACTTCATAAAAAAATACTTCCAAAACTGATGCGGACATCCTACCATCCATGCCTATCCGAGGAGCTGAAGATCGATGGTTGTCATCGTCCCACATTATCTTATATTTTATTTGTAATTTTAATTTTTTTTATTATAAATTTTCCGTTTTTACCCTCACTTAAGAGGGTCGTCCTATGTAAGCCATAGGGGCATATGTGTCTTGTTTTAGTTTCTTAGGCCTATATATAGAGGCCCTTTCTTGTGTAATGAGATGATGAATTATTGAAGGAAAAGTTTATTCTACTTGTGTGATCTCTTAGTGAGTTCATGAGAGGAGAAGGATCTCTTTGTGAGTTCCTAGATTCCCAAGATCTCTTAGTGAGTTCTTGAGAAGGAAATGATCTCTTTGTGAGTTCCGAGATTTCCAAGATCTCTTTGTGAGTTCTTGAGGAAGAAATACTTGAGGTTTGTAGCTCCCTAGATTTTCCATTTTTTTCTCTTATTTCTCCTGGCATTTGTTTTCCCCTTCCCCATCTCCCTACACACGCCGGCTCCACCTCCCCAAATTCCCCACCCGCCGGCACCCAAACTTCTCCACCCGCCGTCCCCTAGGCACCACCACAATCACCGACCCCTTTCCCCCCATAGCTCCCAAAATCTGAATTTAATTCCATCATAAAATCTTTTCTAATTTAGCCCATCAATTTAGGAGGAGATTTAAAATTCAAAATTCAAAGATTTGAATTTAAATCCTCTCTTAAATGATCCCCCTCTAATTTAGGAGAGGTTCTCAATCAACATAAATCTGAAATTAATTTTCAGATTTATGTCCCCAATCACCTTAATTGCTTAGCCCCACCTCCTTAATGCCTAACCCCTCTCTCTCTCCTTCGTCATTAAATTCTCCCAATTAAGACTCCTTAATCACCTCCCTCTTGCCCCATTCCATTATGATGATTTCAATTATCATAACTCCCTTCCTAAATTAACTCCAAGAGAAAAGGAAAGTAATTACCTCAATATGAAATTTAAAATTCAAATTTCAAAAACTTTCCTTATTTGCAAATCTTAATTAGGAAAGTGCATAAATTCAAGTCTATTTGAAATTCAAATTAAATTGGATTTCATGATAGCTTTCCTAATTCCCATGAGTTATTTTGGAAGCTATTAAATTCCTCCACAAAATCCTCCTCCCTCTCTTAACGCTGTCGGCCCCATGATTGGGCTCCACCTTGGATTTCCCTCTTAAGCCCAACTCCCATTTGAATTTGAAATCAAATTCAAATTCTTTCTCTCTCCACTTTCCACCTAAGCATCAATTAATCCCTCCCTCCTGCCTTGGACCCGCCGCCCACTTCCCCTATCTCTTCCCTTCCTCCACGGAACATCCATTTGTCAAAAGGTTCAGTTTTTTATGCAATCAAAAATTTGGGAGAGGGGCCCAAATTTTTTATCACAAAAAAAAAACTCTTTCTAAAAACAAAATAAAGACATAAAAATACTCAAAAGACACTTTTTATATTATATAAAGAAACTTACAAACATAGACACTTACTTGACGACACTTACAATTTGGACGCTTACAAACTTTGACACAAACAAAATGACACCCTAAACTTGCTTACTTTGAGAAGAATGATACAATGGAATGGTTACTATGGAGAGAAGAAAGAGATTAGAAGCCGAGACGAAAGTTGGAAAGAGCCCGCAGGATTTCCGGAGGGGATGAGAAAGAAGCTTAGAAAGAGCCCGCAGGATTTCCAAAGCAAAAACCACTCAGGTTTCTTTCCAAAAATCACATTATCACATAACTATTTAAAACAGCCCAAACAACTACTATATATAGGCATAAGAAGGAGAATGCCAAAAGCCACCTTAGTTAATGTTCACAACATCCCAAGCTTTTATTTTTCAAAGGATTTCCAAGAGTCATTTTGGAAAAACAGCCCAGCATCTCACGGAACCAAGGAGCCAGCAAGCAGACCGAAAATTCAAAGCAGCATAGTTACGGGAAAAGCATCCCATTTCGGAAATCAGCCCCTCTTAAAACCAGAACAGGAATCAAAGGGAAAGTTCATGGAACCAAGGAGTCCATGTCTCGGTAAGCAAGCAGCCCGCCAGATATTAAAGCCTTTTATTCACTGGAGCCAAAAAGTTCACGGAATCAAGGAGGTTAATGTTTCGGAAAAAGGCCCAGGCATGGAAATATCAGCCGGCTGGAATGTATAGCATTAAAATCATTAACTTCCCAATGAATTCAAAGCATAGAATTCATCCCCCAATTAATACAAGCTATGGTTTTCCAAGAGACAAGAAGAAAAGGGGAAGGGGAAGGGACAAGGAAATGAGAAGAAAAAAGGGGAAAGAAGAAAAATCATTTTAAGAAATAATGAGCTAATTTTTAGTTCAATAAATGAACTAAAAGTCAGCTCATAATGAGCTAATTTTTTTACTAGACATTAATGAGCTAGAGGAGTCAAAAATCAAATATTAGGATTTGATTTGACCCCCACCCCTTGCCTACATCAGTTTTTCCCTGCTGTCCCAGTATTCCAGCCAAGGAAAATCTGGATTCCAACCGCCTAAAATCTCCAAACTGCGGGCTGCCCTCTCACAACCTGCTGTCCAACTATTTAAGCCCAAACCCTTGCTGTCCTAAGGAGTTTCCAAAGTCAAAAACTGCTGTCCAAGGAAACTAGACTGCTGTCCGCTGATTTCTGCAGGCTTCCCAACACCGTATCTTTCATCTGGAAGACTCCAACTGCTGTCCACTTCTTCCCCAACACCAAAGTGACTACGTTGGAGCTCCGTATTTGTCTTTCCCTTTGGAATATTAAGCGTGCAAATTTCCTTTAAGCAACTCATCCATGCAATTATGTTTCACATCAAAAAATCTAAAAAGAAGCCACTTTGACATAACCAAAACTGATTAATTGATTTATGATCCTGGAAGAGCATGGTTAGATTTATTACATCTAAAGAAGTCAAAAGGTAAACATACCATTAGACAATTTGGGATTGGTAAGACACTTCCGAGGTCACCTATGCAGATGTACTAATGGTGTACAGCAAGAATGTTTGAGCTTATTAGGCATGCGAATGTAAAGCACATACAATATGTAGACAAATTGCACGTGAATTTGATTACTACTTCAAGTTTGATACATAGTTTATAATAGCTAGTTCTTACGGAAAGGCAATGACATTCATTTGGAGCACGTGCGCATGCCTGATCATTACTTTGTCTCCACTTGTACTATGTCATGTGCTATACTAGCAGGAATTATTATGTTTATAGATCCTCCTACCTGATCCTCATGTCTCATCTTCAATATATTTCACTCCAACCATTCATTTAATATTATTTCTTAATTTTTAATTTCAAGTCAT